CCCAGCCAGCCAAGATGGCGGCACCTCGGGGAAAGTGTAAGGAAGGGCAAAATACTGCCTGGGAGTGATGGGTGAGGGGAAACTCATCACTCAAGGCGTAAGGAGGTAGAGGAGTTGGGAACGAAGGAGTGAAGTTGAGCTGGGGAAGAAGGTGGTGTGGGGGGAAAGGTGTTTTGTCTTTGTTTCTCACCACCCTACTCTATTTTTAACTGGCAATAAACTATATTAATTTTCCTGTTTTGCCCATGACAGTAATTGGTAAGTGATGTCACCTGCTTTTATCTCCACCCACGAGCTTTTTCATCATATTTTCTCCCCCTCAGCTGTTGGGGGGGGCGGGGGGGAAAGGAAGAGCAGCTGAGTAGGTGTCTGGCAGCTGGTCAAGGTCAACGTACCACAATGTTTGGTTTTTTTCTGATATTGCTAATCATCTTTTCTCCATAGTTCAGGAGGAAGTCAAATACTGACTGTGTCTTTAGTTGTTACACCTTCTTTGCTTTTCTTCCACCCAGGAAAATGAACAACTATTTCTGGTGTTTTCCCCATTTTTGTAATACTGGAGTAAATAATGTAACTTTTTTAAAAACAGATGACATTTACCTCATTCCCATCCTTTCAGGTGGTTACTTTTCTGATATATTGGTGAATGGCCTGATGCAACTTTTACCATTTTTGCAGTATCATCAATGGGCAAACTATAGCCATGTTCAGCTTATGACAATTTAAGAATTCAGCTGTGGAAAGTCTCATTTATTCTATCCCACTTGAAAGAATAAACCAAAGTGTAATATATGATCAGCTTAACAGATAACTATGAGAATTTGCCACCGTGACTATATTAAGAGGGCACTATTTCCAAACCTAGAGAGAAAAAAAAAGTCTATCCCTGTGTATACAGACTGTAGTTTTGAACCCTGAAGCCCTTCCCAAAGTCCTGTAGCATTCAGATTTAATACCCAGTTCTCAAAGGCATGTAACCAGACTAACTGATCAAAACGTAATCAATGAAACCTTCACCAAATACCCAGATACAATTTTCTTTACTGATAAGATGATACTTACATGTATATTAGTAGAGTAGAGGATACCAGACTGGTCAATTCTGCATGTTCATTTCTGAAGCATGGTAACAGTGAACCCAGCAATTTGTCTTGCAATTTGTCTTGCAGACTTGCAAAAACAGTCTAAAGACACCTCCACATATATAAGGAGTTATAGTCAATTTTAACAGGCTGGTACACATTTGTACTCATGATTAAGCTACCTTTACCCTGCATACAGTGCTTGGCAAAAGATTTAACAAAAATTTGCTGATTTGCCTTACCATTTTTCACAATATACAGTTTCTTCCAGCAGGAGATTCCTGTTTTCAACACTCTTCAGGATACTCACCTTGGCCTCGGTAGTAGTGCCTTCAATCAGCACAGGTAAGCCAAACAATATATTTTTTATTATGCTCTAAAACCAGTTTCCCCCCAGGTTGCATCCAGACTGATCAATAAGTAGTCATCTATGTTTATAGTCTGAGGGCCTCTCTGTGGTCCTACGCTTATGCTTTCAAGGTTTTTCTCACCATCCCAGGACTGTCATTTGACATCCTTAACGATTCTGAATTATGTTTCCTCTGCGATGGTTTCTGACAACTTCAACAAACCTCGTTGATGACTGGTACAAATGCTTGTTATACGGCAGCTGAAAATTTGTTCTGTATAACAGTGATTCATTAAAAGAATCTATATACAGAATATTTCCTCAACTACTGATTATAAATATCTGTCAACTTTATTATTATGTGTTTGAATTTGTTTCTTTTCAGGTTATAACATTCTACTCTTCCTGAAATGCCTGTCTATAGCTGTGTACTATACTGTTTGGACAAGTAAAACTAGGTTTAGGACTTTTTGATTAGCAATGCTTGTTGGTACATCAGCAGAATATATTTAAGTGTACTTCTGCCTCCAGCCCAAGCCCTCTCCTTCCCATCATGCATGGCTGTAAACAGGAACTTACAGAGTTTCTTCACATGTTCTAGATGTTGTTTTCCATCATGCATTTTTAAAAACAGATTAATAGTTCACTATAACATCTGTCAGTACTAAGCATGTATTTATTATCATTTATATTGTCATGGAAGAATGTAGATTCCCAAACTGAAAACTTTCCCAGCCCGTGAGCAGTTAATGACATGCAGAAACATTTGATTTCCCTGACCAAAGCGTACATGGAAAGCAGATGTGCCATTGGTATTTCTGTTTCACAAAACACCCAGCAAGCAACAAAGTTTAATCTTAACCAAACAGGTATTTCAGAGGTGGGTGCACCGTATCACTGAGGTTGGTTGGCACTAATATCTGATCTGTAAAGAAGTATCTTACAAATGGTATCTTATTGGATTCCAGTTCTGTTTTAAAGGTATGTTACTGGTATAAACTCTTCTGTCTTAAGCAAAGCAATACTGGGTACACCACAGCAGACCTTAATGCTGTCTACAAACGTGGCCCCAGGGGAGTCATTACCACCATCCGTTGCCATAGCCCAGTGAGTACGGTTCAGGAGGATTCTTTCCCTGTTGATGCATCGTCAGGTATTGAAATAACACTAAGTAGCAGCAAATTGCGCTAAATACCTGCATGGGGGGCACTTCAATGAGAACAGAAGCTCCTTTGGGTTAGCAATCTTCTTAGCAATTTTTTCTCTTTTCCCACAGATATCAGAGGAATGGAAAAACTTCCCCAGTTATATTCTTTAATAGAAACAGATAGGCTCTTATGTTAGACCTCATAAGGAGTCTACCATCACTCATTATGCACCATATACCTTCTCACTCCTTAGAAAAAGAAAATTCAGAAGGTTTCAGTGCCTCCCTTTTTTATTCTGCTTCCCCTTCCCCACTGTCCCCACACAAATAGCAAATGAGGGGGATATACCCCCTCTGGAGCAGATCCTATCCAAGCTCATTACCCCACCACTATTATTATCCGTGCCGTGACTGCAAGTTACAGGCAAGTGAACAGGTACCAGCGAGATGCTGCGGTGTATTCTGCCAGCCAGCGTGCCTTCAGTATCTACTGCCAGAACTGAACTTTCAGCTATTTAGGGTTCATTCTGAGTTCACACTGGCCTCTGGTGAAGTCAGGGTAGTTTTTGCACCAACTTCAACAGCATTGATAATTCACTTTTTGTTTTCCACCTTTATTTGTATGTAAAAATAAGGTTTAGTGGCCTATCACTCACATGATCAGCAATGAAGTGTAAAAAATGAAGATGATTTTCATTTCCCTTTGTCAACTCTTCTTTTTTTTTATTTTAATATTACTTGCACTATTTGCCGTAGTGAAAACACTGAGAAAATTAACAGAGAGGAATAATCATCCTACTGTTATCACTATCCTATTTTAGCAGCCTACTTAGAGTTACACATGTAAAAAGATTACAGACAACGTTTCAAAGTTCTAACATTACATTTTCCTTCAAACTATCCAGGCAGCCCTCACTAATTGCATTGACTGTTATAAATTGCCGAGGCAAGCAAGCTCCAGTGCTGGCACCAACCGCAGCAGAGCACATGGGGGTTTCCCGAACCAGGAGAACCCCAGGGGAGCCGAGAGCCGCCAGGAGCCCGCAGCCCGTGCCACAGCGGCTGACGAGACCAGGGTGGGGCCAGGAGCAATGATGGCCAAGCCCCACCATGTATGCAAGAAGCCCCTGGGGAGCACTACGACCAGGAACGCTGCGAACAGGGCCTGGTGTGTCAGCAAGGGCGTGGCGCGGCAGTCTGTGTGGAAGGGCATGCAGGAAGGGCGCTTGAAGCTCTGCCAGCAAGACCAGGGAACAATGGTATCCACCCAGCAGAAAGCCATAGCCTCTCTAAGCTCTGCACCCATCAAGACTGAGGCCGCTTCCCAGACAGAGCTCCGGTGGGAAGACGCTGCCAGCCAGGTGTCAGGCCGCAGGCTGTGCCCCGCTCTTACGCCAGTAGGGGACAGCAGCAGTGAGCACACCTGTGGGAGGTGTGCCCGGGTAGAGGAACTCCTCCACTTTGTGACAGAGAAGGCCAAATATGCAGTCCAGGCCCACTTCTTAGAGAAGTCTGCTGCCTCCCCGGGGCCTGGGTTAAAGATGTGAAGAGAAAGCTTCCTACCCTGGTACGGACCTCAGGTTACTATCAATTAGTGACTTTTCAGGTAGGCAGCAATGAAGTTGCAACGAGAAGTCTGAGGGCAATTGAGAGACTTCAGGACCTTGGGATGACTGGATAAGGGATCAGGAGCACAAGTAACGTTCTCCTCTATCCTTCCAGTTGCAGGGAATGATGAGGAAGAGCCAGCAGATCAATACCTGGCTCTGAGCATGGTGTCACCAGCAAAACTTTGGGTTTCATCACAGAATCACTAGGTTGGAAAGGACCTTCAAGATCACCAAGTCCAACCATTAATCCAGTGCCACCATGTTCCCTAAACCATGTCCTGAAGTGCCACATCCACAAGTTTTTTGAACACTTCCAGAGATGGCGACTCCACCACCTCCCTGGGCAGCCTGTTCCAATGCCTGACCACCCTCTCAGGGTTTTTTGATCATAGGTTGGTTTACACAACACCAGGCCTGCTGGCGGCAGGTGGGGCACACCTGTCTCAAAGCGGGAAAAGGATTTTTGCACAGGAATTAGCAGGGCCCATTGAAAGAGCTTTAAACTAATGTGAAGGGGGAAAGGCATACTACCAGGCATGCTAGAGATAAGCCTGGGGGCAGCACGCCAGTGTTTGAGGGACGGTGGGCTAGCAAGGTCCTTTGGTGTGCCATCTCAGTGGAGGTAGGGGATGGAATTCCATGTGGCAGCAAAGACACAGTGGTTATTGATGTGTTAGAAACCACAGTAGCACCTGAGAATGTTCACACAGGAATTA